CGTGTCTAAATCACACTGGCCATGTGACCACGGAAAGATTGTCTTCGGACAAACGCTGGCTCTATGGCTTGAAGAGCGGGATGAGCGCTGCCCCCTAGAGTCGGACATGACTGGACAAAAATTGTCAAGGGGAACCTTTACCCTTTACCTTTACTAGTAGAATTGGAAGAGGTAGCCCTGTTAGTTTGTGCAAGCATATCGGCCAAAGACAAAAACGTGGCACCTTAAAGTGTTACACATTTACCCTTTCTTGGAACTTTTTCAGACATAAGGAGGAATAAAGAGATCACATAGTAAAGCATTATTGCTGAAGCCTAAGAGACCATCTGCAATGATTTGTGACCTCTGTTTGGCATTCAGTTCTTTTGAAGTCTGGATTGATAAACATTCTAACAAGAGAATTTCTCTTGTTTTGTGTGATTTCTAGTACTGTATTTATCTTACAGGGTGGTCAGTCAAACAAATGAAAATACTTCATTTGAAATGATATATGTGCATAAACTGTAAGGACATCATTTGTTAATTTTAAAGGCCTTTTTTTTTTACTGTTCTTTTATGACCTTAGAATTCTGGGAAGCCTTTGATATTATATTCATGTTTGTGAAGTTTATCGTGTGTTTGATTGGCAGAGATCTTGTTATATAACATCTTAAAATTCTGGCCTATTGAAAACTACAAAAACTCTTGCTGATGAGAGCCATTGTACTATCTTGGACAGAATGTTGGACTTGGGTTCAAGAGACATGAGTAGAAATCCCTGCTCGGCCATAGAAGCTCATTGGGTGTAAGTGTTAATGGTAAACCACTTCTCAAGCATCTCAGAAATTCACAGTCACTATAAGTTGGAAGTGATGACATGGAAAAACAACATAGAAATGACAAATATAGTAGTTAGGATTCACTCAGTGCACTTCTTTGTCCTTCTTCTTTGTTGTTTAGGTTAAGATATTTGCGCCAAATATTGAGCAGATGCACGTTGTTGATCATTTAAAAGGTAGTCCAAGTGAAGAGAAGAGAAACGTTTTAGTGGAAAGTGCCCGGCTTGCAAGAGGTAATATCCAGGATTTGGCCGACTTGAATGTTGGTGAATTTGATGCAGTCATTTTCCCAGGTGAGTTCTTGCACAAGTAATTACTTTAATCTTTGTTTGAGATGAAAAATTTGCAAACACTGGACAAGCGGTATGTTAAGGTGAAGGACATTAGCTTTCACTGCTGTCTCCCAATGCAGCAGCACCTCCAAAAGCCTAGCATGTGTTCTCCAAAAGCTCTTTATCTCCATTATACCATTGCACGGATCCAGTAGCCGTATTCCTTCAAGCTAGGAGGCACTGGATTACCCAGTCAAGATGCTGTCCTGTAACTCAGGGCAGGGAATGTTCCCCCCCCCACACACACACACAGGGTATGTAGGGTATGCTTTCAGCGTTGTGTTCTAGTGGTTATGAGAACTGGGTTGTAGAACAGGATCAAATACTGATGTGCAGTTGGGACACATATTTAGTTAAAAGTTATATTGCTACTTGTTTGGTATTTTGCTAACAGAATTGAATAAACCTTTGCCCCTGTCTACAAGAATACTTTCTGCCCGGAAATAAAAGTTGCAATGTTACTTTGTTTCAGGACTAATTTCTCCTTAGCTCCCATCCTGCCCATTTTTTCTCCTGCCTCATTGTGATAGAATTGAGATACTCTTCTTACTGTCTTGATTTGAGATGGAGGACGGCAAAGTGCACATTTCAGGCCTGTGGGAGACACACAGATCCCCCTCATAGGCCTTGCGCAAATAATGCAAAAGCAAAACAGTTTTCCCAGAAGTGGCAGTTTTTGCTGAGAAGTGTCCACCAGAAATCCCAAAATACCTGAAGAGTCCATCTGATCACATTGAGTTTTGTCTTGTCCTTGCCACACCCACACCTCTTTTCTTTTGCTACTTCAATACCTGATGCAGCCCACAGAGGGTGTTGTGGGAGTGAACGTGACCCATCAGGCCTTTCAGAGCCCCACTCCCTTTTAAAAGACACACACACACACAAACACACACACACACACACACACACAGTTTTCTTTTATAAGCCACTTAGGAAGAGCTTTGCCTAACTGAAAGTACAAATATTTTAGGTAACAGTGAGAAACTAAAAAAGCAGTAAGATCACAATTTCACATTAGACAACTGTACAAGTATATTGTTTTCTCATCCTCTCTCTTTTCCACTTGGTGTTGAGTATGTAGATGGGAGAGGTAGGGGCCTTGCATGAAGTGATACAAGGACTGTGCTGTATGTTAAGGGGGAAGCAGTTTAATTTTTTCCTTTCTTTTCCCTTCAAGGGGGCTTTGGGGTGGCCAAGAACCTGTGCTCCTGGGCCGTGGAAGGAAAGAACTGCACTGTCAATGCACAGGTGAAGTCCACCCTTGAGGCTTTCCACAATGCAAAAAAACCCATTGGTCTGTGCTGTATTTCTCCTGTGCTGGCGGCAAAAGTCTTTCCAGGCTGTGAAGTCACCGTTGGCCAGAATAAAAACATAGATGGAAGGTAAGGGACATCTCATGATCTAGAATCTTAGGGAGAGTTGCTGTGTAGATATTTACTTGGGAGTAGTTTCCACTGAACTTCAGAGCAGAAGCAGGTAGATTTATGCTGTTAGAACAGCAGCCACAGAAAGCATGCTGCTCTCCAGTGTCTATCATACAGAGCTGCAGCCACTTCTCATTCCTTGCCAAATGTACTTGTGCAGGGGACACAACAGACTGTGCCTTGACTGAACTGTGTTATATGTAAAATAGCCTTGTTCTTAAGAATAAATTTGTAACTGAACCGTCTAACTCCAAGACAGAAGCGTTGATAGAAAAACAGTTGCGGATCAGACCAAAGACTTATCTAGTCCCACATTCTGTTCACACTATAGCCAGTCATTTGATTAAGGGGAGCCCTCCTGTGGGACCTTAATATCACTGTATCCCCTTCATCTCATGTTTTCCAGCATCTGCTTTCAGAGGCTTACTGTCTGTGATACTGGCATGAGTTGTAGTCATCTTGCCGAGTAGCTTTTTAGGCCTAAACTCTCTGAATTTGTCTAATCCCTCTTTAAGACTGCCTAAGCAGGTGGCCATTGCTTCCTCTTGTGGCAGCAAGTTCCACAGTATGTTGTATGAAGAACAGTTCCTTTTATCTGTCCTGAATCTCCTACCACTCAGTTTCAGTGGAAGACTTCAGCTTCTCATACTGTGTACCACAGCTGTATGCTTAAAGGACAGCAACATTCATGCCATGTACAGGATCGCGTTTTTATTTCACTGTGAGGAGAGTAAAGGCATGTTGTGGTTTAATTGAGAAAGGGAGACTGCATAGAATAGAGATGTGTAACACTCTCTAGATTACAGCTTCTGTTGTCCCTTGCTACTGGCTGTGTTAACTAGGACTGGTGGGAGTTGCAGTCGAGCAGTGTACAGAGGGGCACCTTTGTAACCCTGAAAAAGAGGCAGCATCTCTGGGAGGCAGGAATCTTAGAACAGTTCCTTGACAAGATTTCCTTGACAATAATACAGTGGTGCCCGCAATAATGAGCGATTCATTTAATGACGAATCCGCATAGCGATGTGTTTTTTGTGATCGCAAAAGCGATCGCATTGCGATGTTTCTAATGGTAAAACATTGCTTTGCGATGATCGGTAAGCATTTTGGTTACCGATTTTTGCATAGCAATGTTTTTTTTAACAGCTGATCGGCAGTTCCAAAATGGCCGCCGGGTAAATAAAATGGCCGTCTGCTGTGTTTTTGCCCGGATTCCTCGCTTACCAGGCAGCGAAAATGGTGGCCGCATGGAGGATTTTCGCAGAACTGTGAGTTTTTTGCCCATAGGAACGCATTAAACGTGTTTTAATGCATTCCTATGGGCTTCTTTGTTCCGCATAGCGATGAATCCGTGTAGCGACGATTTTTACTGCATGGATTATCGTCATTATGCGGGGCACCACTGTACTTCGTTCTCCCAAGCCCTTTGTGGCAGACCTGTACTTGCTTACATACAACCCCCCAATCTCAAGCAACTACTGACACACAAAGGTTTACAGAACATTGACCCAGAAGTGGAAACTAAACCCTGCTACAAACCCAGATGCCAGTTCTGCTCTGCCTTACATTTATTCCAGCAACATTATTACAGGACTTAACAGTGGCACAAACGACAACAATGGGTATTTTTAGCTGTTCCTCTGCCAACGTTATCTATGCCATCTTTTGCCAACAATGCCCTTGTGCACTTTACATAGGACAGACAGGCCAGTCTCTGTACAAAAGAATTAATGGACACAAAATGGACATAAAGAAAGGCAATACACAGAAACCTGTTTCATATGATTTTAATTTATCCGAACATCCTGTGCAAGTCCAAAAGTTGCCATTCTGGAGAAGACAAATTACAGGACAAGAATCCAGAGAGAGATAGTTGAGATAAAATATATACATATGTTTAAAACACATCAATGGACTCAGTTTATGCCAGGGTTTCAGAGGCCATTATCAAATGTAAATTATTATGTTGTGTGGGCTGAAATTCACAGCTGTATTCCCTTACTATATACAGTGCCCTCTCACAAGGCCCCTTGATGATTAGAGATACTTATTACCATGTTTCCCCCAAAATAAGACAGGGTCTTATATTAAATTTTGCTTCAAAGTGCATTAGGCTTATTTTCAGGGGATGTTTTATTTTACAGTCATGTCATCTTCTGGTTGCTGCACAACGCTGCACAATGGTAGAGGTCTGGGTTTCACTTAACTAGGGTTTATTTTTGGGGTAGGGCTTATACTATGAGCATCCTGAAAAATCATGCTAGGGCTTATTTTCAGGTTAGGTCTTATTTTCAGGGAAACGGTACCAGGGCTTGAAAATTTTTAGAATGTCTCACCAGTCAGTCAAAGATTTCACCAGTCAGCATAGCCGGACTACAACCTTAAACTAGGTGCTTGTTCACTTTTATTTCTACATAACAATGTGTAGAAACCCAAAATAAATATACCCTCAGACTTGGGCTGCTTTATTACCTCCGTGCCTGTGGGGTCATGAAGCTTGTATTTTGAATGCCTTTCTTTTGAATATCTCCAGCAAAAATAAAACTGAAAGCAAAAGTGACCGGTCTCTTAAAAGAGCCTCGTGGCGCAGTGGTTAAACTGCTGTACTGCAGCCAAAACTGTGCTCACAACCTGGGGTTCAATCCCAGGTAGCTGGCTCAAGGTTGACTCAGCCTTCTATCCTTCCGAGGTCGGTAAAATGAGTACCCAGCTTGCTGGGGAGGGGGGGCAATGTGTATCCTGCATAATTAACTTGTAAACCGCCCAGAGAGTGCTTGAAGCACTATGGGACGTTATATAAGCAGCATGCTTTTTTGCTTTAACCCATATTTTCCAGCATGGGACTACTCTACATTCTCCTGCAGAGCTATACAGTGGTGCCTTGACTTACGAATGCCTTGACTTACAAACATTTTGAGTTTGAAACAGCTCCGTTTGCAAAATTTTGCTTTGACTTGCGAATGGAGCTTTGACTTACGAACAAAAAGAATTCAGGAAAAGCGGGAAATTGACTTTGGACTGCCTGGTACTGTAATTTTAAAATGTAAAAATTGGTTTAAAGGGTGCTTGGTTTGGTTTAAAGCTGCTTGGTTTTAAAGGTGTTCTGTTAAAAGCTGTTCGTTCCCTCCCTCTCTCCCTGCCCTTTTTTTAACCAAAGTTCATCTTAGGTTAAAAGAAAAAAAATTCTCCCCCTAGTGGTAGAGGATGGATTAAGTGGTTTTGCATTAGTTCCTATGGGAACTAATGCTTTGATTTATAAACCTTGCCTTGACACAAGAACAAAAAACAGCCGGAAGGGATTAATCAGGTTTCAATGCATTCCTATGGAAAGTGCTGCTTTGACTTACAAACTTTTTGACATATGAACATCTTCTGGGACGGATTAAGTTTGTAAGTCACCACTGTATATCTATGTGCCACTCAAACTCTCTTCTTGCAAGAAGAGGGCTGTTTTCCTTTAGCAATCGGAGGGGGGAAGGAGGAGGACTGCAGGATCAGAGAGAGAGAGAGACAGGCAGAAGGTAAGGATGCAAGGAGCTATGTCTCGTCAAGCAGCGTTTTTTCCCTCGTCAAAGACAAGTGGACAAGTGCATTTTTCAAGCCCTGTTTATTACCATATTGTTTCTGCTCATTATCTATAACCTGGGATTAATTTAGTCACTATCATTGTCATTGTTTACAAAACAATGCTTCCTGGGAGGGGAACTCAGTATCAACAGGTGTCTTAAAGGTCATTGCCAGTTGTAGATGCTGCACTATCACCAAGTGCTCAGAAGAAAACAGTCTTTGTTAAAAATACAGTCTCTTCTGGCAATGGTTCCATGTATAAACGTATAAATATTTTCCATGCAGTCCCACTCTTATGTCTGAAGAAGTGGATTTGTCCATGAAAGCTCACATTAAAATGTAGCAGTTAGTCTTTAAGGTGTCACAACATTTTGGTCTTCTTTATTTTTTACTTTTGTTTTGTTTTTGCCTGATAGGCATCTTAGCGTTAATGTTGCTGGTATAGAACTAGTCAGAGCAGCCAAACATGATTTAGTGCAGCTGTGGGTAACTTATGGCTCTCCAGGTTTTTTTGGTCACCAAAATCTCAGCTCCAGACAGCAAGGCTGGGGGTCAGGGGTAATGAGAGCTATAGTCCAGCTTCTGAATAACCACAGGTATTCCACCCCAGTGTGGCACAAAGTTATTCATTCATTCATTCATTCATTCATTCATTCATTCATTCATTCATTCATTCATTCATTCAATTTATACCCCGCCTATCTGGTCAATTACAATTATGTTTCTGTTTAAATGTGAAGCTACAATGTGTGCTGAAAAGGTGCAGTGCCACAGATTTGCAATTCTTTACTTCGGCTGTTTTATAAAATTTATTTATCTATTTATTTAACTTAAATTGCTATTCACAGGATCATTTTAATGAGCTGAGTGACCACCTGAGCAGCAGCTAGCTCTAGCCTGCCTCTTTGAAAGCTGTGTTTAACAGCTGGGGATGGAATAAGGCTGAAAGGGCAAGTAACGTGTCTGGCTGTAACTCATAGTTCTTTCGTTTTTCTTTGCAGATTTCCTGATGCTGAAACAGCATCTGCAATAGAGGAACTTGGATGCAAGCACATTTGTAAAGATGTGAATGAAGCCCATGTGGATTCTACCAACAAGATAGTCACTACTTGTGCGTTCATGTGCAAGGCTCCTTTGCATGAGATTTTTGATGGAATTGGAGCCATGGTCACTGAGGTTCTCAAACTTGCATAAATGAACAGCAGGAAGCCAGCAGGGAGCGGCTTGCTTATAAACTTAGTGTGGTTGAATTAACAGTACGTATTAATAAAATGCTGAGTTTAGTGTTTTGCATGGCATTTTTCTCCTCCATTAAAATTCTCAGGAGGATGGGGAAATGTCCCCTGATACCAATAATGCAAGAATTTCTGTTGCCATAGGATCCCAAGCAACTTGTCAGTAACTGGTTTTATTGTAAGAACAGGTGGATAAAGACCTAGAGCCCTGTCTCTTCCGTGAAAGCTCACTGCTAGCTGCCCCCATGGCTACAGATATTTCTGTTGTCACCTGCACCTTCTTAATTTCAGTATTTACAACTAGTTGTTAGGAATTGGGTGGGTAGGTAGATGGGTTTTGACCCAAGGACATTCAGTTGCTAACTTCTGTTTGAAGCATTTTGGAATGGTTTGTTTCACCCCGCATGTAAAATACTTAAATGCTCATTACAAGATAGAGGCTCTCTCAAAGTAGTTTACAGTTAAAAGATATAAAACAAGAAATGTACAATAACATCAATCAAAATAGTAGTACAGAGCATTTCTGTTTCATTACCAGAATGACAACATTGCCTCCTTTTTGGTGATGTGTAAGTGATCAGCTAGTATTCTGATTCTTCAAGCTCATTTTTAGAGCAGTCTGAGAAAGAATTAAATTCACTACCTGCAGAAGGGTATGCCGTAAGCTTGGAGTCACTGTGGAAAAGGACTTGCCTCTGATGCCCAACCCTCTGGAGGATATTAGTGGTGAGCAGGGCTTCTGCTGCTGATTTGGAGGCGTGGGTCTGTTCATGCACATGCAGTCATTTATTCAAATTATTTCATCCCAGGATGTTTTGATGTCAAAAGGTAATAATCAACACTATAAAAGGGCCTAGAAGCCCTAGTAAGCTGTGTCACTGGTACAGAATTAACTTATGTTGTGATTGCTTTAACCCCTGTGAATGAATGGGTGGATCCGTTCTGTATTAGCTGGAATTTCAAAACTGTTGTTAAAGACAACCCAAAATAGAGCATTTTTTTGAAAATCAGCAAGCAGTAGATGAATGTCACCTAAGAGGTAACTCCATGAATAATCCAAATCCACTTTGTAGACATTGCACATCATTCAGTACTGTGACCTGTAAAAATTATGGTAATTTGTCAAAATATTTCTTATTTTGTATAATTCTGCATTTTAAATACTTTGCACAATTCATATTCCCTTTGCTCATTATGGAAGGGGAAGCTGCTACACAGGGCACTGAGTGTCACCCTCAGTGACTGGAAATTTCAAACCTGCCCATGGTTTCTGAGACTGCAGAGGCTTTTCAAGCATGCATTTACAGACATAAACACTACAAACTTGCTTTCCAGAAAACAAACAAAAATGCCAGATGAGAGTTTCTGGCTGCTGTGTTTGGGATTTAGTGCCAAATGCCACCTCTTTTATCTGCTTGCACAGAATGGATTGGTTAAGTTAACACTAGATATGAATGAATCCCAAACCGGAATTAAGATTGCCGGAAGAAATATCAACAACCTTCGATATGCTGATGATACCACTCTGATGGCAGAAAGTGAGGAGGAATTAAAGAATCTCTTAATGCGGGTGAAAGAGGAGAGGGCAAAAAATGGTCTGAAGCTCAACATCAAAACAACTAAGATCATGGCCACGGGTCCCATCACCTCCTGGGATGAAGGCAGAGACATCACCTGGCTGACAAAGGTCCGCATAGTCAAAGCTATGTTTTTTCCAGTAGCAAGATATGGAAGTGAGAGCTGGACCATAAAGAAGGCTAACCCATGAAGAACTGATGCTTTTAAATTGTGGTGCTGGAGGAGACTCTTGGGCGTCGCCTGGATTGCAAAGAGAACAAACCTATCCATTCTAAAAGAAATCAACCTTGAGTGCTCACTGGAAGGACAGATCCTGAAGCTGAGGCTCCAATACTTTGGCCCAATTCTCTTCATGAGAAGAGAAGACTCCCTGGAAAAGCCCCTGATGCTGGGAAAGTATGAGGGTAAGAGGAGAAGGGGACGACAGAGGATGAGATGGCTAGACAGTGTTGTTGAAGCTACCAACATGAATTTGACCAAACTCCGGGAGGCAGTGGAAGATAGGAGGGCCTGGCGCACTCTGGTCCATGGGGGTCACAAAGAGTTGAACATGCCTTAATGACTAAACAACAACCACAATAAGTACCTAAAGCAGTTAATAGCCTTTGCATCGCCACCTAAGGTCCATGGGGGTCACAAAGAGTTGGACATTAATGACTAAACAAGAACCACAATAAGTACCTAAAGCCGTTAATAGCTCATCGCCACCTAAGTATAGGAGGGGATTGCATCATCTGCATACAAAAGTACCGATATAGTCCTGTCCTTTAGATGGGGTGGGAAAATCATGGGGCTGGATAGGGAGGATGCAGTATCATTTAGGTATCAATTAAATAGAAGGAGGGTTAATAAACATCCCTGATGCACTCCCTTATTTGCAGGGATTGGGTCTGGAAGATCGCCATCAGATGAGACTCTTAATCATAGGGTGGTAATTCTCATGCAGTACTTGGATTCTTCTAAGCAACTATAATCTATATTCAAGGATTCCAATTTGTTCTAAGGACATGGTTGAGATATGGAGTAAAAGGCTACTTTAACATCTACAAAAGCCACAAAAAGTGATGTTCGTGGTGGGCAGATACGTATATTTCCACACTAGATGTTGCAACATAGTGGTCAACTGAGGACTTGTCAAAGCAGAATCCTGCTTGTTCCTTTGCCAAGGGTTTCTCTGAGGACCCCCAGTGAACCTCTTGGCAGAGGAACAAGCTGGATCTGCTGTGGCCCCAGTGAACCTCTTGGCAGAGGAACAAGCAGGATCTGCTGTGGGTCCACAGTTGACCACTGCTTTCATAGAACGATGGATTGCACACTGCCTTGAATTCATCCTGGGAACAGAACTTATAAAACATGGGTTCAGATAAGAGTGTAATCCCGTACATGTCTAGTCAGAGGTCAGGTTCCACTGGATTCCATAGGACTTACCATAGTAAGTGGATAATAGGATTGCCGCTTTGAAGTCCTTGCCACCCCACTTGTGTCTGATAATTGAAATCAAAAGTCTTTATAGTTAAAACCAGTTTCTTGCTGAACTCTCTAAACTAGAGATGGGGTGTTCGTACTTGTATACGAATATCCCCCCAGAGGTGCAGATAATGAGGGTCCTGCCCCTAGGGGCCAGAATGACGACTCACTGTTCTGCTGCATAATGAGGGTCCTGCCCCTAGGGGCCAGACTGAAGACTCACCGTTGTGTTGTTGCTGTGGGCTTCGCGCTCCCTTCCTATCTCTCTCCATTGCTCGTGATGGATTAGCCACTCTTGGACCTGGCAGAGATGCTCATCATCCTGCTTTCTGCCGAGAGTGGCTAATCCACCACGAGCTCTGGAGCAAAAGGAAGGGAGCGCAGAGCCTGCGGCAGCAGTGGAATGGTGAGTGGTCCACGCCTTTGTGGGGATATTCATATTCGTATACGAAAACCCCCATCTCTAAACTATTTACATAAGTGATTTGTCAGCAGCAAAAAATTAGTTTTTACATGGCCTTAGTTTTGCATAACACATATTTTGCTGAATTTGGCCCAAGAAATCAGATTGTTTCACTCTTCTCACACCTTTGTAAATGCAGATGTAAGAAAGCACGAAATGTGCTTTAGCTAAATCCTAAATGCAATTAAATCCGATTTGAAGTAAAAGTCAGATGTTTCATTGGTTTCAATGGAATGCAGCCTTCCTCAGCTTTCTGTGGTTTGTGGTCCAAACAGAAGCCTCAAGTACTGAGGCAATGCAGCCATCTGTTTTATTTATGGTATTTTCTTGGTATGACTTGAGACTAAATACATGGGTAGAGTAGCGGTGGTATTTATACATAAGCAAACTGTTAAAATTATTGCAGAAACATTTTGAGTGGTATGCAATATAGAAATAAATTGTGATTTCTTTTGCACAAGAGGTGAAATGTGTTAACTAACATATTTTGCTTATCTGCTGATAAGAAACCATCATATTTCTATCCTTGATCCACAAGCAGATTGTAACTCAATTGCAATGAGATGTCCATTGCAGTTCCAGGTCCTGGAGTAAAACAGAGCATGGGCTGATGTCCAGCAAAGAATTAGGGGAGCTTTAAGCCCTGTCAATATAAAAATGAATTTGCTGCAAACAGCTGTGCACTGGATTGTGGCCACAGTCTTCAAGCTGGGGGTGGCAGACCTTTGACCAGAGCTGTTGCTGGAACAAAACTATCATTCTTGTCTGTTGGCCATTTTGGCTGGGGGCACCTGGAATCAATACCTGGACAGCCACAAGTTCTCCATCCGTGTGCTGAATGTTGCCAAATCTCTTTTGAAATTCGCCACTCCAAGTCCCTAGATAATTGGTTCCCAACCTTAAATCTTCAGTTGTTCTTGAACTACAACTCCCAGAAATCCTGGCCAGCACAGCTAGTGCTGAAGGCCTCTAGGAGTTTTAGTTCAAGAACATCTGTCGATCCAAGGTTGGGAACCAATTCTCTGTACAGTTACCTGGAGAGCAGGCTACAGAATCTGGCCATTCCCTACACTAGCCTACAGAATTCATTCTTGCAATGTAGGGTAGCAGGACTATAGCACAAGTCAAAAGTTGGAGAACTCTTTAAAGAGTCTCTGGGATACTTTATGCAAAAGAAGGAGCTACCTGTAATCCCATCTCCTTTGCATCTTCAATTTCTGTGGAGCGAAGTCTGGTTGTTGTCCCCTACTAGAGTAGAACTAGTGAATGAATGAGGCTTGTTAAGTTAACCCTTGTATAAATTCCATTGATTCAATGGCCACATTCTAGTTGGGATCAACAACTGGATTTAGTCTCTAAAATATCAAGGTCCGTAAATGCAAGCGTCATTAACCAATATGCGAAGAGCTCCTTTAAGCATCATCAAAGACTTCTGCGTTTTTTTTCTTTTCACATTTTGAACAGGGAATTTTCTTTCCTTATCACAACTTTGTCTGGAAAGTTCTCATGGCTTCAAAATACTATCAACCTCCTGGCATAAGGGACTGCTGTTTGGGAAATGTAATCCTGAAGTCCCGTTGAGTGTGTGAAAATGCATGTGTGTAGATCAGAGATCACAATGGTCCTCTAAAGGGCAGCATTCCTCACCATTGAGGGTCATGGGAGTTGCTGTCCAACATTTGGAGGGTTGTTCTTTGCTCATCTCTGTTATGACCTGGACAAAACAAAACAAGAGTATGTGTTCTTAGCTCCTGGTCACTGGACCTTACATGCATATCTAAGATACCCAGGGGTCAGGTAGGTTTGGATACACTTTTCAGAGTGGGAGCTAGGAAACATCCCTGGAGCTTAGATGACATGTAAATATTAGTAGGAAAAGTCAACGTTTCAAAAGTGTTTTCCAAAGTGAATTGCTTCACATTTTGACTGATCCATGGACTTGGACTCTTGAAGCAACGATGCCAACATTCGACAGTCTTCTAGATTTTCTAAATTATCCACTACTTCAATTATGCCTTCAGTGGCTTCTGAGCTGAGAACAGAGGTGGCATTAGAATAGAACTTTTTCGCCAGGTCCGCCCTGCTCAGTGGCTTCCTCCAGTGCCCATAGAACGTGTCGCAGCGCTCAGACAAAGTGTGTCCATCCTGGAGGGTGATGACGATCTCACAGTAAAGAGTGTTGAAGCTGGGTTGGTTGTCAGGAGAATGTTCCACGTGTGTCTTCCTGAGCAGTTCCTGGAGCTCTGGCCTGAATATCTTCTGCTTTTTGAAGGACTCGATAGAGATGCAACCATCTAACAGGGCAGTGCATGCGGCAAACTGGAATGAATGCCTGGCTTCATGTTCAGAGGAGGGAAGTGGCCTATTGACATACTGCATATCTGGGACTTTGAGCACAATTGTCTTGATTCTGCCACTAGGTAAGGATTCCCCACTCTTTGCAAGGTGTTTCCTTACCGCCAGAGCTGCCTCTGCCATCCAGTGTGTCCCTAGGTGGGCTGGGAAGCTTTTGAAAGCTACATCTTGTTCACTCAGCAGCCAAGAATAGGACTGCAAGTTTGGCAGAGTCTGAGGTAAGCAGTCTGTGTAAAAGGCCCCAAAGCCAGAAGCTAGATCCAGTATCAACTTGTTTGCTTCAAGACCCAAGGAGGCAAAGATGGCTGCTTCCAACCCATGCCTGCTTGCGTTGCCCATGTGGAGAGGTTTTGTCTGAGTGGCTGCGTTGGCCAGCGGTGCTCCCGCATAAGACATGGCAATAGCCAATGCTTCCTTACATTTAAACTGATCAAGATCCAGGAGTTTAGCACTGGCTGCTGCACTTCCCATGGTGCCAAGTATGGATGGTGGATGAAACCTGGAAAGAGGCCAAAACAGGACCCGGTGGTTTAGTAGACAGATAGACTGACATGACTGAAATCAGGGGTTATCTGGTTTGCTCATAAATTTGGTGTTGTACATTCATGGCATGAGTGCTGATGTTCATGTAGCCACAATGATACTATGCGCACACAAGCAATCAGGATCAGTACAGGATTGAGGGCAACGTTTTCAGAACTGCAAAAAATTCAAAGCATGGGAGAGTGATTGGTGTCTGCTGTTGGGGCTGAGAATCAAGACAGAGGGAGAATGGAATGGAGATTCACAAACAAAGCCATGGCAAGCTGGCTAACTGCAACATGAAACAGAAGCAGTTCACATTGCAACATCTTGTTGCAGGTCCCATGTGTATGTCTTTATTATATATTTATCATGACATCCTTTAAAAGATGGAGAGTGCCGTCTAATATTTGTCTTCCCCACCCATTTTATCCACAACAACCACTCTTCCAGGTAAATTAGTCTAAAGGTAACAACTGGCCAGTGTGGCCACTGACCTTTATTGCTTAGTAAAGGTCTGAGTCTACATATTGCAAATACAAGCCTAACATTGGCCTAAATCCTGTTGCATAGTCATGTCTATGAACGACAAATGATGTAACTCACTGTGGCTTCTTGCTGCTGAGTAATGTGTCTCTGCTTGGATTTGTGGGTGAGTGTCCAAACATCCCAGTAGGGACTCATTAACTAGAAGCCACTGCAAGTTATGGTGTTTGCCTTCTGCATATTACACACCACAGGATTCTGGCCATTATGCCCACTATGCCATACTGCTAGTTAAAACATTGCTGTTAGTTTCAATCAGTCCAATTTGTAGATCAGTTGTTCAAATACCCTGCTTCCCACCATGTTTTCTTTTTTCCTTCTTAGCAGTGAAAGTTTAAATTTAATAAGATTTATTTCCAGCTGGACAGGCAGAGTGAAAGAAATGCAGCAAATTACCAGAGGGGGAAAAAAAAGGTCTGGCCATACTTTATCCCTGGTTGTTTGGTTTTTTATTTCCAGAAATGTCTTTGTCTAAATGCAAAGGTGCAGGTTGAAGGGAAGAAGTTTTGTAACCTTTCTCTCCCCCAGGGATTTCCCCCCAGATTTGTTTGTTTGTTTGTTTTATAGGCCACCTTTCTCCTGAGAAGGGGACCCAGGGTGGCTCACAATATCAAATTCTCACTGCCCTCAAGTTGACAGATGTCTTGAGATCTTGTTTCAAAACAGAAAGGCTCACAAGATCATTAGAAATATTATAGCAATATCAAATAAGATAAACACAAAACAATATTAAAACTGTAACAAAAAAAAATCATAGTCACATGAGCCTTTGCCACTCAAAATATACAGAGGTATTATTTCATTTCACATTCTACAAATTAAGTGGCTAACTGGTAGGCTGACTGACTGATTGATCAATGATGCACTTTTTAATAAACTAACTGCCCTAAAATCAGTGAGGGTGTGCAATATAAAAGCTTTTGCGGTCAGGATTATGGGTGTTCAAGCCAGCCAAACCAACGTACTTTTGATATATTGTTTTGGTGGGTAGGATGAGGAAGCATCTTTAAGTCTACCACTGACTGCAGAACTAGCACTAAAGAATGAATTTTGTGTCTTGCAAAATGCCATGATTTCTAGAAACGTACAATTGCTACTATATGGAATCTGCTTGGTAAGTCAATTTCTTCTGCCCTTCTTCCTGCCCACTCCCTTTGCTTTGAAGATTTCACAAGTCATCATTTGTATATCTTGAAAAGCTCTTTTGAACTGCAAAGTAATGATTCTGAAATGATTATGGCACAACATGCATGTTGTGGTGATACTATTATTAGGCCAATTAAAAAGGCACATGTATGTTAAATGCTAGTTACTCTCTTTGTGTACTGAAGTAAGCCCCATCTTAAAGAGGAGGCCTTTTTACCAATCAGCTGAAATATTCCACTTGTGGAATGCCTTCCATTTGTTGCAACAAAAGCAGTATGCTAGTCTGAAACAGGACACAATAAAAAGCAAGTACAAAATAGTAGAAATATTTCAAAGCAGCTTTCCTTGTTACTTATTTGGTTTATACCTTACACCTTCTTTTGAGTGTCTGGGGCAATGACTGCATGCATATAAAGATGGAAATCCAGTTCCATAATATATGCCTGTAAAAGGATGACCATGTCACATAGGCAGAAGCAATTTTCAATAATTAAAACCTTCCTCCTTCTGTTCTGGGCCGTTTCTGATTCCCAAATAATCCCTTTCAGGGCTGCAGAATGAAAGGAGGACATCTTTAACTACTAAGAATAATTACTGTGACATCATCACCCTTCCACAGGGGTAGTTACACTAACAGGATCTAGTTACATTATTAATTACATGAATAGGATCTACATATTCTATTCTATTCTATCTATTCTACGCAACATTCCTGCTGGTTAAGAAGTCAGTGGTTATATTTTTCTGTCTCACATCAGTCACATGATTTGGTTTATGATAAGAAATGTGAACTCAGACTTTCTAACAACTGGCAAGTCACCACTGAAATTTCACTGTTGTAACTATTCAATTGGATTTTGTCCAAAACATGATATACATATGTTTATTATATATACAATACGATGTAGTATAATTTGTGTTCTGCATGTACTTAAAATATTCAAAATTAACGGGATTTCAAAGTGCTGAACTTGTGCTAAATAACTGTGCTTGATGTTGTTACTCATATAATTAATCTTTCTTGATCATGTTTGTTCTTTTCGGGTCAGGATGCCTGACGGTAAAACTTGTCAAGTCAAGTGAAACACAATTTAAATCAACATCCAATACTCTGAACATATTCTCTAAGAACATTTAAAAATACCGTATGCTCCACCTCTCCTCCTCTTGTTTACCTTTTAGGAACATTGCTGGCCTCCTTGGAAAAGTGCATCAGTCTGCCTTGAACTTCAATCCCGACATTGAAAGCCAAAAGCAGGTCTCGACCAGAGATCTTCTGATTCTCAGGCATGGCTTCAGAGATGGCAAGGATCGCTGGCAGCACAGCCCCGGAAGGGTGTGTGGTTGGGTGCCAAGTGTCATCAAAATCCATGGAGTGGACCTTTTTTGGGGGGGGGGGAAGGATCCTGGTTTTAAAATCCAAGATATATATTTTTCAACACACATATTAATCCTTTACCTTTCCTTTCCCCTCATTTCCCATCCCCATCCTCTGCCATTGGTCCGGTACAATATGTATGTGCCATAGGGGTACCTGCTGTATGTTTTCTCCTGTGGAGGAAACAGCAGCATTGGGGGGAAAGAGATGAAACTTACTGAGGAAAAGAGTTTAAGGAGGAAAGGATTTCCTTCCCTTCTCATGGCATTGTGGTCCTGATATAAAATTATTTCACATATTTTCCTTTCAATATGTATTAAACACTTTGTGTTACTATAAATGCATATGGGCCAGCATAAAGCATAAAGGAGCTTATTTGGAAGAAACTTTTCCCTAAAAACATCTTCTCTGCTGCCAGATAAACTCTTTTCACAAACAACTCAAGGAGGCACTTTCTCCCTCAGCCAATTGGGAGCCAAGCAGACAGGGAGGAAAAGGGGAAACATTGAACTGACATTTCTTACACGGGAAGGCACTCACAATAACTTAACTCTTTGTTCTAAAAACATCCAATGTTTAATATTTTACATTGTATCTGGTAAAGCATGTAACCAGCACATATTGAAGGAAAGGGTAGCCATTTATTTTTAGGCATCCCTCAGTCTCAAGAGACTATGATATCGTGCTCTGTATGGAGGACTTGGAACAGCATCTAGTGTGGCTGAGAAGGCCAATTCCAGAGTGATACAATCTGCTTTTATGACTGCCTCTTTGCCTCAGCCTGCTGGACAAGGGTCTCTTCAAATTGGGAGAGGCCGTGATGCACCGCCTGCCTCCAGGCTCAATGCTCAGATGTCAGGGTCTAAACAAGTAAAATCCAAATGCAAAAAATAGGTGATTCCTTTATAGACCACTGAAAATCATCACACAATAAATGAGCTTTCATGGATTAAAACACCACTTCATGAGGTTTGTACCAGTGTGAAGCAGGACTGCAACCATTAGGTAATATCATTCTGGCTTTAATCTGACCCCAATTGGCTAAACCTGGTTAGTTTACTAAATTACCACCCCAGCTCTCAGATGGAGGACTCAGGTTTTCTGTGTCACCCACCCACTTACCCAGCCAAGCAGAGACACATCTGTTTCGAACAAAGGCCAAATGGAGAGGTGTGGTTACACAGATGGCCTGTACTTTTTCATTTGGAGAACCAGGTTGTTAAATCCATTCCACAGCTGCCTAAGCTCTAAGCATAAAATGATAAAACAGACTCCTGACTTCCATCTAAGGGACAAGTCTGGCGAACCCATCTTGCCAAGAACTGCTGGACTTAATATCTAAGAAGAACTTTCCTGCCAAATCCAACTTGCTGTTAACTTTGGACTTAAAGCTTTGAACTTCAAGTTCTTTACACTGATACAAACCTGATGAAATGGTGTTTTAATCCACAAAAGGTCATTTATTGTATGATGATTTTTCAATGGTCTATAAAGGTATCACCTGTTTTTGTATTTGTATGTATATGTCACTGTCAATCATAAGGCTACAAAAACAAGTAACCAAGGTTGTCATGGAATAGTTTGCTGGACAGACTGTTAGTGTAAATGGGACACTTGTTCTTATGATCTCAGCTTTTATGAGATGAAATCCCTATAAAGGAATGGCATTTCTTTCATTATGTTGAGATGGATTGATCAGAGTAATAATAGTTCTGTTCATCTCCATCTCTAGATTTTCCATTTCTTTTATTTCTTTGAATAAATTTCACCTTATATTTTAAAAGATAAATCTTGCATGCCTGGTTGGTATTTCTCTTTCTCTCTAACAGGTACTCAAATTTGAACCAGGCAGAAGTAAACGAACCAGAATTCCCCCCCCCCCACTTTACAATTGGTGACCTCAATATGATCCTGCTGGTGAGTAGGCTGCATGCCCTCCCGCAAGTCAATGGGACTCCAGAGCATGCACAGATCCATCTTCGGTTTGCCATTTTCCCTTGGCTGAGAAGGGAGGGCAACCACCTGCTCCAAAAGGATCCCATTATCAGAGAGAAAAACCACCTGTACCCCATTGGGCTTTTGTTGAGGTTTGTTAAGGAGGGCTCCTGTTCATCTGGGTAAGAAAGTTTGGAACTTTCAGAGTCTGGGACTCATGCACCTTGTTTCTCTGGGAAAAGCCAATTTGGAGATTGGGTCTCCTTGTTCCTTTTTGGAATTTGGAATTCCCCAAGTCTGGGACTTGGTAAAGACTTGGTCAGAGCTGGGCTGTGGCTACCCAGTTTGGGGTCTGGGGCCCCTTGTACTTTCTGGAATTCCTTGGGTTTGGGACTTAATAGGCTGCCAGAACCTGGGACTCTGGCATTCTCCCACCCCACTTTTCCCTTTTTTCCTCGAGTCTGGGACTGCTGCTTGACTTTGGAACTCAGTGTCTATTGGGTGAGGGGGGCGACTATTGGCGCTCCATCCACTTTCTTGCCGAGGTGGACTTCTGGAATTCCAAAACACTGTGTATTTTGGCCGATTGCCCTGTAGAGGGCGTTAGCAATCTCCAAGACAACACCAGCACTTGCTGGTTTAAATTAACCAGGGTAGGACACATTTTTTTTCAGCACATGTAAATTGGTCTAAAGTTCAGGATTGTCATGAATGAATTGAAAATGTTAGCTCTACAAATTAATGAATCAACATCAACAACAGGCTGGCTGATTGCAGAATTCCAGGAAGGTAAGTGCACCATCTAATTATCTTTTGGTCTCCAACAAGTACATGAAGAAATACGTTATTATTATAAAAAGCTGAAATCCCCATATCAATTGCTTTTTCTTTCCAAAGATATTTTAGTTCCACCAAATCTGTCTCCTTATACGCCAGTGTCTGCTGAGGTATTGTTTACTGAAAAATGATTTTGCTGCCTGAATAAAAGACAGCAAAAGCCCTGAAGAAAAAGGCTATTACACTTCCATGACAAACTAGACATTTCACCTTGAAGACTTCAGAACGTCAACCATATCATTTATGATTTTGTAAACGATGACACTTAATGGGATGTTACTGCAAGTCATCAGCAATTTTGCATTGTTTTACGTGTTTTGAAACTGCATGTTCCATTTTGTTAAAAAAACACTTTTTTTATGTTTTATGCTTATTTTCCCCACTGAAATACTGACCTCTAGTAGGTCCATTTCAGTGGAAGTGCAAGGAACATAAGCTAAAACACACACATATACACATGTGTCATCTTTCCTCCTCAGGAGGCAATTCTCTCATTTAATCAAAGGCATCAAGTAATTTCTTTAGAATATGCTGAATGTTGACTAGGCTAGGAGTTTTCATTATTGCCCTGAAATTCTGACTCATTCAGTAAATCATTTGTCACTTTATTTTGCTCATAATTCAGTACCCCTTTTCTTATATTCAGGTTCATTTTTTTTCCTTTTTGGATCCTGATACAACCAAAGAGGGGAACACTCCCCCCCACCCCGGCAAGCTTGCCTGGGTTCTTTATTTGCTTTGGGCAACATCTTTCTTAAAGAAATATGTAAACCTGATAATTTCTCTTGAAAAGGACATTTATTCTTCCCTCAGAATTCTTTCTCAAGAGATATAGGTTTGGGGCAAATTTATATATTATTGGGACACTCCAAGCTCAGAATGCTGTTGAGCCATGTATTAGTGTTTATATACCAAAACGTACACAGCCATTCATCATCTGAATCTATGCACATTGCAATATTTGTTGCCTTTGCAAATGACTCTTGATTCTCAAATTACAACTGTTTTGGGTAAACATAATGGTAACTGTTGTCAGTGATGTTTATACTACTAGTTAATAAGACTGGAAGTTTTGAGACATTGTTACTATCTGCTAGGGAAAATATGTAAATATGCAACAGAACATGCTAAGGCAGAAGTCAAAATAGTGAATATGTGAACATAAAATACGGTTCCAACTGATGATAATGTTCATAGCTCACCCTATTGTTTCTAGGATGTTTTGCTGGGTAAAAGAGCACTTTACATAGAACAAATTATAAGATCAAATATATTCTTTTAATTATTATTTTGTGTTGCAGTACACTAATCTGAAAATCCTAAATGGCAGTTTGTTCATCTGCCCAAGATACATCATTGGTTGCATGTATCAAAACCTCTTTTAAAAAAAGAAAAAAAGAATAGAGAGTAGAATAGTGCTCTAGCCAACTACACCTACAAAAATCACACTGCTCTTCCATTTCTCCAACTACAAAAACTTTGGTTTTCTGCAGAAAATACCGAAGGGTCACAGCCCTCTTCAGTTATTGAGAACAGGGTGAACCCAAGCGTCCGAGGAGAAGGCACATGGTCACCCTGTCCCATCCATCCTCAGGGGAGCAGCTGTCTGAAAATGAGAGCATCTGTTCTGCCTTGGAGGCTCTCCACATACCCCTGAACCCCGAAAAATTAGCATGTCAGGTAAGAACAAAACAAAAATGAAAAAGCAAAGAAGACAAAAATGCTGTGGGACTTTAAAGACTAACGGCTATATTTTAATGAGACCTTTTGTGGACAAGTCCACTTCCTCAGACATGAGACATCCTTTATTTTTTAAATGTTTGCTTTGATTTTCCATGACATGCTAGCACAGACTAGCACAATTTCCTCTTCTAAAACTGAAAAATTAGGAGTTGAAAGCTACACAGCCAGAGGGTTGCCATCCTCACCAGACTCTCAGTCACCATGTAAAGCGAGCAATCCTGGAGGGATGATTTTAGTCTGTTCCTCCTTCTGACCAGTTCAGGGTTACCTCTGTTCTCAAAGCTTGAACAGAGCTAATGAATGGGTTTTAAATCACACAAGGCTGCAATCCTGTATCCAGTTACTGGCAAACTCAGTTGAATTGAGTGATATTTATTTCCAGTTACGTAGCTGTATCCAGTTACTGGCAAACTCAGTTGAGTGATATTTATTTCCAGTTACATACATATGTCTGTGAAGCATGACAATTCCATCCTAAATGTGGATTTAGTACCCTAAGGGAGTCTGCAAAGCACCCCACCTGTGCAAACGCATACAGTGTATTCATAGAGTTCCTTACCGCCACTCCGTTCACGAAAGCCGTGTACAGGGGAGGAAGCCTGAGAGCAGGTTGGCCCCAAACAGAACTGGATTTATTGGAGCTGTAGATCTGCAATGATTTAGGACAGTTTAGGAAACACTTGGGGGCACAAAACAACAAACTGAAACTTCTCTCTGCACTTCCCTTTATTCATTAAGTTGCAAGGCAATAAGACCCAAGTTCCACCTCTCTGAAATAACGTAGATTTATGCAAAGATGAATTTCCTGGAAATACTTTGCACTGAAATAAGGATGTCTAAAGTGAAAGAAATGCTTTGAAAACTTCGAGTGGATATCAGAGATGGTCAGAGCTAAAGTAGGTGAAATGGCTTTGGCTCTCCCATCTCCTTCCATTTTGGCAGATAGCCACCTATCACTTAATTTCACTTTAAGGGAGACTTCCTGTCTAAAGCATTGAGGATTTTATAAGCTCAACAGCTTGAGTGTTCACTTGTCCTGTGCACATGTCAGCTATTTCAGCTGCAAAGCAAAGAGGAAGCAGATTCATACAGCAGACTTTGCATAAGAACATAAGAAGAGCCCTGCTGGACCAGGCCAAGGACCCATCTAGTCCATCTTCCTGTGGCCCCACCAGATGCCTTTGGGAGCACATGAGACAACTAGAGACCTGTCTCCTGATACCCCTCCCCTGCATCTGGTATTTGGAGGTCCCTTCCTTTTAAGCCTGGAGATTGTACATCCCCATCATGGCTTGTAACCTGCGATGGACTTTTCCTTCAAGAATCTGTCACATCCCCTTTTAAAGCCATCTAGGTCATGTGCCATCACCATATCCTGTGGCAAGGAATTCCACTTTGATGGCTTGTAACCTACGATGGACTTTTCCTTCAAGAATCTGTCCCCTTTTAAAGCCATCTAGGTCAGGTGCCATCACCATATCCGGTGGCAAGGAATTCCACTTTCTGGTGAGCTCTGCTTTAACAGCACAATGGAAAAGTCTGTGTTTTCATCCAACTATTGATCCATCTAATCTAGCATTTCAAACTGGCAGAAACTCTTAAAGGTTTTGGATAGAGCAGGTTTCTATCACCTGCTGTTGGTGGAGATGCCTGGGACGTCCTGCTTTTCCCATCCCATTGTATCTCCCTTGTGAGCCTGCCTGGCATTAAGATCATTGGGGAGGCCTTTCTCTCAGTCCCACCACCCTGACAGGTGCCTCTGATGGGGACACCAGAGAGAGGGCCTTCTCTGTTGCTTCACTCAGATTTTGGAACTCCGTCCCACAGGAAGCCGGGCTGGCCCCATCTTCGCAGTCCTTCTGCAAGCAGGCATGGACCTTTCTCTTCAGACAGGCTTTTCCTTAAGTGAGTTGCAGTCTGAGAGTGTTTTTGGGCTCTGCTTTTAAATGTGCTTTTAGTAGTGATTTTACTTGCCATTTTTAAAATGATACTCGTTTAATTATTTTTTAATATTTGTACATTTACTGTATATAGCTTTTAAATATTGTCCTTTTAATGATGTGAATTGGGTCCTTTCAAGGAGAAAAGTGGGGTAAAATATTTTAAAAATCAATCAATCAATCTCTAGCAGAATCCAGAAAGTTACACTTTGGGGTTTTGTGTGTGTATGCAATATCCTTAGCAAACCTTCAGCTGGATTTGGGGTCAATGCCTCAGGGCTATGCCCTCACTACAGTTAGCAAAAACAGAACAAACTATGCAAACAAAAGCAATGCTACACATTCATTCATTTATTTCCATAATTTGTACCTGTTGCTGGGTCCAGCTGCTTTTGCAAAGTTTAGGAAGTTACTTTTTAAAAGTAGTTAGATATAGTTCCAAGGCCCAAAAAAGGATAGGTAATTACAGTTATACAGGTTTGGGAAAGTAAGACTCCTGTTTTCCTGTTACTGAGAAATCACTAAGATACAAATCTTTAAAGTTATTTTAAAACAATGTGGTACATAAAAAATCTGGCACAGTATTTCAATCATATCTTGATCTATTATTTATTTAGGCCAAAGGTATAAGTACTATAGGTTACATTAAAAACACATAGACTATAGTGCTGGAGTAACTATAAAGGAAACTAAATAGTTAACAGCTACACTGCAAAAAGTTATCACTCTGTACAATGTTAATATAATTACGATCAAACCAGGCATTTAGGTGGAATGGGTATGCTTTGTAACTAATATTTTTGCCCTTTCAGAACAGGATTTTTTTCAAGATACTGTACTTTAGCAGTCACTAAGACTTGAAAATGAAGTCTATGTTTGGCTCCTAATTACCAATCACAAAACAAAACACAGTGTATGCAAGATGCACAGATAAAGAAAATTGCATGTTCTGATAAACAGAGATCTTTCAACATTTGGAGAGCATGACTTTAAAAAAATGCAATGTGTAGTTTGAACCTTAGGTAATTTTTACTGGAAAAAAAAACCTCATTACAAAATGACTAGCTATTTGTTATTTGTTGTCTTTCCCCAACTCTGTCCTCTTGGTCCAGAATTAATTTGGTACACTATTATATATATATTTAATGTAACCTCTAGGACCTGTAGTCCAACTAATCTCAGCTAACATTCACAGTACATACAGTATCTGTCATATAAAATAACTGTCCCTGGTATGTTACGTACCTTACTGTATTGTATCATTTTCTGAAAAACATCTGTCCGAGTGCCCAGCAGTCCTACTCCTAAAGTGTCTAGAATCATCCGTTTGCTCCTCCGAATAACTACATCTGTCAGATGGTTTGTATTCAAACCATGGATCACATGGGCAAAATTTCCAGTAATATTCTGGCAAAGCAAAGCAAAATAAATAAATTAAATAAAATAACAATTAAAAAAACTCAGTGTCTTCCAATGTCAATCCTGCCCCCCAAATCAGCCATTTTAAAAATGCTTTCCACAGGTTGTAATTTAATCCCCACATTTAATTCTCAGCATTTTCGATCCATGTACCTTGGACTGCAAACAATTTATCTGAGAACTGAATCAAATACGTACCAAGAGAGACAAGCTTGCGTGTAGAAGAGGGCTGCACAAATTTTGGTCTTTGTCAGACCTCCGATAAATGACTATTTTGGACTATAATTTTGAAACTTGCCCAAGCTGAGCAGGCCGGTTACACTGGCTGGAAGATTCTGAAAGGTGTCATTTTAAAATGCTAGCTTTTTCAAGCTGTAGGCCTACTGTACTAAGCGCTACGTACTTGGCATTTGATGACAACTCTGGCTGAAGCAACACATGCTGGGAGTTTACTTCTCCCCTAATGGATCACCATCTATAGCTGTTGAATCACAGTTAGGTAGGTACATTTTTAGCTAGTTAAATATATTTATTATACTGAAATATAAGAAAATGTTACTTTGTGCACCTTGAGGCCTGGATCTTTCTCAATAGACAGAATGAGTCATTTGTCTCAGGCAACAAATTTGGGATGTCATGAAATAACAGTATATTATGACTATCTGTTCTAATTTATTTATTTAACTTATATGCCACCCACTCTACCCAAAGGTCTCTGAGCAGCTTCCAACAATTAAAATACAACAAAAAGATAAAACAATTAAAATACAATTAAAATACTCTAAAAATTGCCATCAGGACCCACAGTTGATATTATTTCAATTAAAAGCCTTCTGGAACAGAAGTCATTATCAAGAATGGAGACAGAGGGCCTTGCAGGAGTTTTGTCACTATTTGCCAAAATTGCCAGGCTCTTGACTTGGGAGCAGAGGTGTCATTTTGTTGCTCAAGCATCAAAATCACAGGATTTTCTGTGTCCAGAAGCACCTCTACTCTGTCAGTAGCTCCCTCTGTAGCATCTTAGAGAAAGGGCCTTCCCATCATTTGCTACCTGATCCCTTTTGTTGGGACTCATCGCTGCTGTACAGTACTGTAATGATTCTGTTATTCAAAGAGGCCTGAGGTCAGAGCCTCGATATTCTACACTTCCTTCTTTTTGAAGTAACAAATCGAAGTAGTACCTTTGCCCACATCCTGCAGCAAGTAGCAGCTTCTCCCTCAGATCAGATTTCAGGAGTAAATGTCAATACCACCAGCTGTCCTGAGAAGATGTTAGAAAAGCCACCACCACCTTTTTATATAGTGGCCACTGTCGTGTAGGATGTGAGTTCCCACCTTAATGTTCCTCTTCTGCTGTTGCCCAGAAGTTTCCCCTTTTTGACATTTCAATTTTTCCTCTAAGTTCACAAGGACCTCTGGACTTCACAGATTGCAGCAACATGTGAGTCAGATTCAGATCATGTCCAAAAAGCCAATGAATGTTTCAAATGACCCAGCACAGGCGTTCCTCAGTGCCCTAGCAGTCACCAAACAAGCTGAGGTGTGTAATCTCCAGTCTGTCTGTCTGTCTGTCTGTCTGTCTGTCTGTCTGTCTGTCTGTCTGTCTTTCTTTCTTTCCTTCTTTCTTTCGGCCCAAACCTTTTCAGAGCAGCTAGCTTATATACCATCATTTTCGGTCAAAAAGCGGGTCGTTGCCCATTGGTGTCCAGTACTTGTCTTTCAACTAGTTTTCTTTCAGCAGGATGGATGCAATGGTTATGCATCTCAGTGCTATTCCCTCAGCTGCAACCTGCTGGGAAAGCTGTGGTGGGGACAGATGAGGGGTTTATAATCAAGGAAGTGGTCTTCCAGCAGTGTTTCTAGAATGGTCTTATTTCCATTATTACCTCATATGAAACCTGTGGTAGTGATATTCTGGAAGAGGCCTGAACAATGTTGAAAAATCCCTCCCTAAACAATATGTTGCAAACACGCCACTATAGTGTGCATGTTCTGTGCTGAACCCCTTAAAGGCTCAGTTTTCACTCTCCTCCTCTTTGTGAATATTTGATTTCCGTCACATTGGTACTGGTACGTATATAAGCATGCACCTCAGTCAGTCCTGTGAGCAGTGGAGTGAGTTCTTCTACATCTTCTGTGATGTATTTACTTGAATTCATTGTATCTTTTTAATTTTAAATGTAAATATATATGCACTGTCTGTTCCCCTTATTATTCCATTGTTTTTTAATTCCATTATTGGGCTATTTGTTTAGTCTTAGGCCAAATAAACCATCGGCTTCCTTTAGTGTTTGCCTTTAAAACACTGATCAACTAGCCCAATAGTACAAATACAATACAGTGGTGCCTCACATTACAACGTTAATTCATTCCAGCGAAACTGCTGTAGAACAAAAACGTTGTAATGCGAAAAGAAAAAAACCTTCGAAACACATTAAAACCCATTTAATGCGTTCCAAAGGGCTGTAAACTCACCGTCCATAGGGAGGCCATTTTCTCTGCCTGTGCAGCGAGGAATCCGTCCCAGAAAACAGCAGGGGGCCATTTTGTTTACCCGGTGGCCATTTTGAAACCACCGATCAGCTGTTGGAAAATCATCGTTTTGGGAAGAATCGGTTCCTGAAGCAGGGAACCAATCATTGCAAAGCGAAAATCCCCCATAGGAAACATCGTTTTGCGATTGCAAAAGCAATCGCAAAAAGTTCATCGTAATGCGGGTCCGTCATTAAACGGGGCAATCGTAAAGCGAGGCACCACTGTATATAAATTTGAAATAACAGCAATCATATTAATTACAAACATTTTGCTAATATGAAGGATACACTTTATGGAAATGGGCTACCAAGGGGTACGGAAGTGAAAAAAAAGTTGGGAACCACCAGTCTAGCGAATCATGGTGCAATGGTCAAACTGCACTACTGCAGTCAAAACTGCTCGCAACATGAGTTTGATCCTGACAGGCTCAGGTAGCCAGCTCAAGGTTAACTCAGCCTTCCTTCCTTCTGAAGTTGGTAAAGTGAGGACCCAATTCGCTGTGGTGGTGGGAATATGTAGTCTGCCTAATTAAATTGTAAACTGCCCAGAGAGCACTTTAAGCACTGTGGGGCGGTATATAAGCAGCCTGCTTAGCTTTTCTCAGTGGCAAACAAGATGCTTCTTAGAGAAGCTTACAACGAGGACATGAATGAAATAACACCATCCTGCTCATATTTCTACAGTAGCTTGTATTGAGAGATGTTCCAGTTTTATTCCAGGACGTTCTATGTAGCAATCATGACTTATGCCCTTTGATAGCATTACGTTTTATGAATCTGTTCAGTCTCCTTTTGAAACTATCTACCATCATGGCTGACACTACAATTTCAGGCAGTGAATTCCACGGTTCAAGAATGCAGTTACTTCCTCTGCATAACACCTAAATAATCTCTTTTCAGAAAATATGATTAATCTGGGCAGTTCTGACTCCAAATGTAGGGAGGATAAACATTTTTCATTGCAACTCTAATATCAACCATTTCCTTTCTCTTCCAATTACACAACAAACGGTAGATGAATTAGCACATTCAGCTACAAATAATTCCTGGAAATGTTTACGTTTTTGTGAAATCCCAGTTCACTACTTTTTCTTTCCATCTGTCTTGCAGTATTATTTATCAGGTTGCACAATCTAAGAAAAGTCACTAAGCTTACCGTAACTTCTCCTTTTACTTTCAGTTCCTTCAGAATAAACAATGGGCATGGCCCAGAAAACCTGAGGTAACAAGTTCTGAAATATAATATTAGGCCTTTCCTCTATGAGAACAAATTTTCCAACTTTTCTTACAGCCAAAAAAAGAAAAAAGTTTACAAACTCTCCCAACCACCACCCTGCTTTAAAGCCTAGGTGCCTCCACTTTATATCAACACAACACAAACAGTTTATATCAACAAATGAGGAGCAGGTCTTTTGTAAAATGAATGGCTTTTAATTGTCCACAGAAGACCAAACTGTTAAGGAATGAGCAGAAACAGAGCTAACAACTCTGTAAAATGTTTGAAAGGACCTGGCCAGTCCCAAATATTTTGAGAACAGGGTAAGAGCTGTAGAGCTGCCTAGAGATGACAGGAAAATGCCATTGGCTGTGACCATGGCAGAGGCTGGAGAAAGGAGTTTAGCTGTGATTTCCTACATCAGGAACAGAGAGGGAGGATGGCTCACAGCAGCTAATTAAATGAGCTTGGATGGTACAATCAGAGTCAATTAAAAGATGCAGTGTGATTGGCGGAGCCCTCAGGACTGTTGATGAGGGGATGATGGGGTATAAGGTGGAAGGTAACTAGTTAGGAAATCATCATCATCATCTTGGAAGGATAGCTTAGGCTATTTATGCTACGCTTCATATTCTTTGCCATGGAGAATTCTGTATGCACTTGTACAGTAAGTATAGAAAGCCTTAGATTAGCTTTTCATTGTTTTCTGTGGGGAAAGCCCTACAATGCCTTGAGCTCTGCAAGTACATGATGATGCTTTTTGTATATCAACACTGAACATGTAAAATCTTGTCAAGCTGTTATGCTTTGTTGCTTTTTAATAAACTTATAATATTTTATACAAGCTGTGTTCATTCAAACAGCTGAAAAGGGTCTGAAGGCGCAAAATCTGGTGTCTGAGACATTCAAAAAGTCTCTGAAGCATTTTGGATTCTTTTGAGTTTTACACCGGGTTGGCTTGAAGCCCAAAGCAACAACCTGCTTGTGTGTGATTTTTCCCCTGAAGCATCCAGGAGTAAGTACCTCAAGTGTGTGCTGGGGAAGAGTGGGCCACAGGAGACATTTCCTAATCATCCTCCTGGGCATAATCCAACCTAGGTAGGAAAAGGGTTGTGTGACTGAGTGGTAAGAGGACTCCTCTGTGTAACCCAGGTACTCCTTCACACAAACCTCCCTCAAAGAATTCGCATTACAATAGGAATAGCCTGCAACAATATACAGCTGCTGGGAAAGTCCATTTCTCTCCCCCCCCACACACACACACTGCTGTGAGGACTGCAGCTAAGCTCAGAGGGGACAGGGAAGCAGTTGATGGTGTTTGCTGGCATTATAGTCCTTGCTACTTAGAAAGTTCTAGGTCTTCAGTCCTTTTAGGCATGGATCCACTACCCCACTGGCCATGAACTCATATAGGTTCTCTAAACAGTGAGAACTGCAGGGGTGCAATTTTTTTTATTATTTACCCAGATTTGGTTTGGGTGGAACAACTAGAATTTTACACGTATGCAAGTTTAGCATAGAGAAAGGTTTACAGCAGTAATACTGTACTCTTAATAGATTTCTCCATTTTGATGCATAAAGAAATCACCAGCACCACTGGGCAAATGCAGGTAGTATGTCAGGTCTCTATCTCTTTGAATCTCTCTATAAGCTGTCTGCTTCTACACAAACCTGTCCCCAGAGAGGAAGAGGAAAGGAAGAATAACAGTTAGTCACCCTCTCTTACCACCTTTGCCTTTCTTAACCATCTTAGCTTCTACTGAGACACATCACCTGAATGTTACACAAGCTATCATTTTTTAAGTCTTCAGAGGTGTCGCCTCTTGGCAGTACACAAGGAACAGCTCACTGTAATCACAGAGTTGTAAGAGGTCTCTGGACGGTCATGCAGACCAGTTCCACATCTTATTATAAATGACTATGCAAACAATGAGGCAGAGTCCCATCCTCCCTTACTCTTTACTGGCACTGTAGCACAACATTTGGGCGGATGCTGAATTGAATCCAGCTGATCTAAACCAATTTGTGTGAGGTCTGAATTGAAGTAGAATGGCCAAATTCAGTTCTGGAACAAAGTGAAACAAACTTATAAATTGATCTGTGTGCAGAGTACAAATCAAATTGGATGAAAAACAGATTATTTCAGACTTTTTTCTTTTGTTGTTATTAATATTGTTATTGTTGTTATATCCCGCAATTTCGTGTACATCAACACTTTGAAGCTCCAGTTCATTTCTTGGATTCGCTTTTTTTTCTTCTTTAAACCAGGGGCAGGTTGTCTTACAACAGTTTTTCAAATCAGGGGCAAAGAAGAATATGTGGCCTAGCAGATAAGGGTGTGCCCTTTTGATTTTATTCCAGCTCCCAGAATTCTCAAATAATTCTGTAGGACAGAATCCTGGAAGTTTCATCACACAGAGATACACGGGCATTCACATTTCACTCACCAGTAAAGGCCTCTCTTCAAGGTTGCATGGCCTCTTCTGGCCTGTGCCTCCCATTGTTAATGTAAAAAAAAAAAAAGAAGTTGCCTCAATGCATCCTGAG